CAATGTTGGCATTCTGTTTTCTCTTGGGGTCAGGCCCATTCTCTCTTCTTTCTTCCCTGGGCTCCACTTCCTTGCTGGATGAAACATCTAGGCCTATGGCCGAAAGCTGACCTGTTCCTATCCTTATCTCCAGGCTGATTTCTCCTCTGGATCCTGGACTTTTATCTAACTGCCTATATGACAGCTGTTTTCACCAGGCTCTTAGTACACTTTCAAATCCATATTTCCTAAAACCTTGACTTCCAATTTGCCTAATCTCCTACTATCTGCTTTTTACCCCACCCTTCTCAGTATAGTAAGTAGCCCATCCACCCACCCACCCATCCATCCACCCATCCATCCATCCATCCATCCATCCATCCATCCATCCAGACACTCAACCCAGAGACTTAATGACATCTCTGGTACTTTTCTCCCCTCAGCTGTACAAGTAGGATGATCTAGACTCTGCTGCTGTGACAAATTAACCTTAAAATCATAGAGACTCAGCACATTTCCTGCTTGCACATGTCACAGGCCAGTTTGGTCAGCAGAGATGAGAAGTGGAACCTGGCTTTGCACAGTCACTCAGAGATCCAGGCCACTTCCATCCAGAAACACTACTGCTCTCAACATGTGGCCTCCACATGTGTCTTCCAGAGGTGCTGAGAAGGAAAACAGAGACAGCGGACACCTGTGAAGGATGTTTTAGAGACTAGTTTGTCACTTCCACTCACTTGCCATGGGGCATGATGACAAGTCACATCAGGTACAGGAACACATGGTCTTGAGAACCCTGGCCAGCTATGTCCAGCCATTCTGTCACCAATCCCTGTTATTCCTGCATCCAGACTGCCCTGCACAGTGCTCCTCTCCATCTCAGCTGCCATCACTCCACATCAGGCCCCTCCGTGTCTTCCCGGGACCACTGGTCTGTCCTGTCCTGACAGTTGTCCATATCTGTTTTCCTGCTCTTCAAATGTGTTGCCTCTCTACACCGGAAAAGCAGATCACGTGGATCCCTCTCTGAACCCTTGTGAGAATAGGTCCCCCACAGCTGCCCAGAGATACAATCCCAGTCTTCGAACCCTGCAGATAGGACCTTACCTGGCAAAAGGGATTTTGCTTGTACAGTGAAGTATTTTGAGGAGGGGAGATTACCCTGGGTTATTTGGGTGCACACTACATCATCATCAGAGTGATTACAAGTGACAGAAGACAGGAGAGTTGGAGAAGGAGAGAAATTTGTCGGTGCTAAGCTGCTGGCTGCAAAGGTGGGTGATGGGGCCGTGAGCCAACGACCATGAACAGCCTCTTGAGAGGTGAGGAAAAGCGTTCTTCCCTGGAATCTCCAACCTCTCCCTGACGCCTTGATTTTAGTCCAGTGAGACTTATCTCAGATTTCTGCCCTCCAAACTGTAAGATAATAATTTGTGCCATTTGAAGACACTAAGTTTGATCATGAACTTCCAGCAGCAGTAGGAACACCAGCTTCTCTTAGTGTTCAGTATAACATCCAAAATCATTGGCATGATCCAGGCTGTGAGCCCTCGGAGGCAGAGATGGGCCCTTTCTCTTCACTCCTGTATTGCTCTGCAGTGTCTGACTCATTCTTCTCCACTTAATATGTGAATAACTGAGTGGGTTAGGGGGAGGGAAAAAGGAAAGGGAGGGGGAAAGAGATTAAAAGGAGAAGGATGGGGGAGAAAGAGAGAGGAAGAGGAAGAGGAGGAGGGGGAGGAAAGGCCTTTTCAAGTCTTCCAGTCCCAACAAAACTAATCTGTGCTGAGGTTGGAGAGTACCTGGACGGATGGGGATGGTGAAGCTGATGTAGTCTGTGTGAGGGGCAAGGACAGAGTTACTGTCCCTGCTAGAAAAACCCAAGGCCCTCTCAAGAGCCCACCTCCCATCCTCCTAAGCTCCAGGGCTCATCTGGTCAAGGAGGTTGTCCCTTAAACCTGGACATTGGGGTTTGGGCCCTGGGGTTATAGGGCAATGAGAATCCCAGGGCTCCACCTGCTTGGGTGTTGCAGGGACTGCTCTTGGGACTCTAGAGGGCACCCATGCTGGGACAGAAGGAAGCACCAGGAGGGCTTTAAGAGTTGTTGCAGGTAAATCCTTAGTGTTCCCAGGCCACAGAGTGAGGTTAGAGAGTGATTCGAAGGCAGCCTTAGCTGCCCTGAGGCATCTGCAAGTCCCATGGTTTCTCTGTTTCAGATGTGAGCTCTGGTCCCCCAAAGCAGGGCATACCCAGAGCCCCCTGGCCTTGCTGTGCACACCAGGAATGTGATTCGTGGCAGAGGAGACCAGCACACAAATCCTAGGGCTTCTAGTGCAGGTGCTGAGGGGAGACTCTGCCCTTTTTCTTTGGTCTTCTCTCTAATGTAAACTCACAGCTTAGTCAGTTTTCTCCAACCCTGTAGCCCTGGTGCCTGGCTGGTCACATGGCAGGTGTTCTGTATGCCACTATAGAGAGAATGCACCCCACCTCCTGCCGATCTCCAACCCAGGAGCACCTCACACCATCCTTTCTGACTCCTGCACTCCTCCTGCCCCTATTCTTGCTCTGACTCTGTAAGGTGGCCCTCTGACCTCATCTGGCAGTAGTGGCTGGCTGTGCCAGGGCCTAATGTTCTGCATTACGGGAACATCTTTTGGCTGGGGCTCCCAGGGCCCGGGCCAGACACAGCCACACTTCACAGCCAGTCCACGGTCAGTATAGGCTATGGCAGCCAGAGATGTGCTGCTGGGCCTCTTTCAAGGACAAGGTTGTCGCAGCTGACTGCACACTGGCAAGAGGTCCTGCTGTAATGGTAGACAGGACTCACCTGTCTTTCTTGCTGCTGAGATCTGGGCCAAGCCCCCTCATTTGGCCCCCAGTGACCTTGCCCTGTGCTGCACTTGGTGGTGCTTATAGCTCCCAAACTCTGCTCATGATCAGGATGCCACTGGTCATTGTCACTGCGTGATGCATTCTAAATTCTGAGAACTGGAGTCTTCTGCACCCCAAAACTGCAGATGCTTTCCAGTCCACATAGCACCCAAAAGTCACGGACCATGATAGAGAGACCATGGCCTCCTGAGACCTACACTAGGCCTCCTCCTCTGCCCGCTATCTCCCAGGTGTCCTCTGGGACCTGTCACTGGCCAGCCGTCAAGCTTTCATGTCACCTTGTGGGTCTCTGCATCATCACCCCACGTGGGTGGCTTCTCTCAGGGGAGTGATTCCTGGGGACACCTAATTAAAATAATGACATTAATGCTAACGACAGCAGTGGACACGCACAGAGTGAGCCTGGTACTGTTCTGGGAACTTTCCATGTACGCTCTAATTAATCTTCTCAGCAGGCTGTGAGATGGGATGTGGTGGTCACCCACTTCCCATGTGACACAGAGACCCTCTCGGAAGCCCATTTTTATAGACACCTCTGAGGATTTGGGACTGAAACTCCCTAACACTCTCCCTTCTTCCTCCCTCACTAAACCTTTGTCATAGTCTCTCAGTGACATCTCTATGCAGTCCTCTCTGTTTAGCCTGTAAGTGTGGGGTTCCCAGGACTCCCTCCACTGTCTTTTCACTTTGCACCCTGTCCCTGGGTGGACCGTCCCGCCACTAACCCGGGCTAGAGTGAAAGTGAGGAGTGGCATGGTAGGCTCGCTGGTGGGCAGGTGCTGAAGGTACCCATGTTAAGGTGCCTTGCCAAGTAATTGGGTGCTAAGATCGTGGAAAGCTCTTAGTTGTGGTGCTCAGGTGCACGACCTAGCACATACTCATTTTGAAAAGTTAGGGTCCTGGCTGTGTGGGCTTGAGGGAGGAGACCTCTGCAGGGGCTGTAACTACTTTCCCAGTGAAGGGGAATGGATTCTACAAGTGTCTGCAGGGAGAACCACCAGGGCTGTGTGTGGAGCATGGAGGAGAAGGTGGTAGAGCGAGGGTGGCCTGGGCTTCTAGCTAGGCCGAAGCAGGTACTGCATTTCAATTGTCTTGGGCCCTTCAAGGCAGAGGTCTAGAGGTCACCAGCTCTATGCTCAGCCCCGAAAAATGGTTGGGGAATGAGGACTGTGGCCTCAGGTAGCTCTGCTAACTCATCCACCTGTACCTCCCTTCCTTCAGTGGGGAAGGCAGAAGCCAGCATGGCTGAAATTCCTCCTTGGACTTGTTGACCTTGGTGAGAATTGGTTCCATGTAGAGGAAGGACAGAGCTGGATGAACAGGAGGCTGGCAGCAGATGGAAGGAGGGAGCACATGGCAGACAGAGAGATCAAGGGGTCACTGAGCCCCTAGATCTGAGTATCTGCTCATCAAGCTTGACGTCTTCCTCTTCCTCACAGCTCTGGTCCAGTGAGTCACCAAGTCCTAATGACTCCCAAAGCCTCTCAGTGCATTCTTCCCTTCCTCTCCCTCAGCTGCAGCCCTGTGGCACTGAGCTGGCCTCCTTAATGGTCTCTGCCACCCCTATCTCTTGCTCCTCCAAGTCCCTGGATGGTTTCCTCTCTTCCCATCTGATGGATTTGTGCTCCTCCTCTAAGTGCCCACATGGTGCCAACTGCTTGCTCCAGGCAGCAGCCTTAGGCCAACTGGTCCCAACCCTGTCCCTGTCCAGGGAGGAGAGAAACCAGCTGAGGAGATGGATTTGAGGCCAGACTGAGTGAGGGGACGGAGGCCACTGGGAGAGAGGGAGAGGAGGAGAGGAGCTGAGGAATGGTGGGTGGAGGGAACCCATGGCATCTCACTCTCAGGGATCCTGCCCTGGCTGAGTGCTTCTCCCCTCCCAGCAGTCCTACAGTGGCCACTGTATAATCAGGTGAGGCTCCCTTCCTAACCCAGGGCTGCTTCCAGTGGCTTGTGCTTCACCTTTTTGAGGGACCTGGATACACGGGACAAGAAGCCTTGCCTTCCCTCCTCTTAAAATACTCTGGCCTCTGCAGGGGCCTGGCATGTATGGTGTGCAGTGCATATCACATGTGCACTATCTGTATGTGGCAAGGCCCTGTGCTCACCATGGTTCTCTTCCCCCTAGGATGCCCTGGCATGTGGGACAACATCACATGCTGGAAGCCGGCCCGTGTGGGTGAGGTTGTTGAGGTCAGCTGTCCTGAACTCTTCCAGATCTTCAACCCAGACCAAGGTATGTATAGCTCAAAATCTCCGCAGGCCGTGCTGGTCTAGCTTGTTGCCCTCCCAGGAGCCAGGGACCAAGCATCAGGATGCCCCATGGGTAGGGCAGCTAGTGCCTTCTCCTGAGCTCCCCATGCTGGCGTGGAGGGTGGCACCATAGACCTTCCCACTTGTTTATGGGCACGGCATGGCACAGCTCTGCTCTGACCTGGCACCTGACACCTGGTGCTCCAGGATGGGGCAGGCTGGGCTCTCAGGCCAGTGTTGATCCCAGCTCAATCACTTTCCCTCCTAGGGACCTGGAGCAAGGCAGTTCTCCCTTCCACCTGAGTCCCTGGTCTGTCAGATGGAAATGTGCCTTGGTGGCTCTCTCTCAGGGTGTCTGTAAGGATAACATGAGGTCATGTGCATGGATGTCACTTTGCTTAGGACTTGGCACATTCTGAATGTCCAGTAAAGGTCAGCTGACGTTTCAGCACTGTCACATGCAGAGCCACAGAGCTTCTTAGAGGCTGCAGGAACACACAGATGGGGCATGGAATAAGATGCCCTCAGGTAGAACAGGAGTGTTAGGAGAGCAGCCAACATCCAGTGCTCACCCATGTGCATGCTCACAAACCCTGTGATGTGGGCACAGACCCCAGGCTGCACAGTGGCTGGCACATCTGTTTGCCACGTGAACTGTAAGGGCATAGGAGAGGAGGTACAGGGTCCTGTGCACTCAGGCTCCCGGGCTTCCCAGGAGAGGACACCAGACTCACAGGAACCAGTGTGTCCATAGATCGCAGAGGTTGGCGGGGGTGTATGATGGCACTGTCCCTGCCAGGGAAGCCTGGGCAAGTGGGCCTCAGGAGGAGCTGTGTTGGGCCTGTCTGTGTTCAAGCTTTATGGGGGCCATTGAAGTGCTGTGGAGCCCTGTGTCTGTCTAGGAGCTTGTGGGGCAGGCAGCATGGCTAAGCTCTGTGATGCAGGAAGTGAGGGTGTAGGCTTAGCCAGCAAAGGCTAAGCTAAAGAAGATCTGCCTGTAGACATGAAGCCCTTAGGTCCTACTTCTCCTGCGGGGTGGGGACAGAGCCCTGTCTTGACCAAAAGGCAGAGGCAAACCAGCTTTCAGACCCTAAACTCCAACAACTTTGCCTGGAGGGAAAGAGGCTTACAGGAGGTGGCACAGAGAGATTGTAGTGTGGTTGGGGTCCCCATATCCCTCTCACCTCTGGGCCTCCTGGCAGCAGCTGAGCTGTGCCATCCTAAGGGCTTGGGGGCTAGGAAGGACCCAGATCAGGCCTGAGAGGATTCAGAAGAGGAGACCAAGAGTGCTGCAGTGAGAGTTACAGTGAGTGCCCATCCTCCCTCCTCAGGCACAGTTGGCGCTCCATGATTCAGCCTGATTCCTCATTCATTCCTTTAGAAACCAACTTAATCACTTCCTCCATGAGTGTATTGCTTTCATTCAGTCATTTATTTAGAGTTTATTGAACATCTACTCTAGGTCAGATTCCACGCAAGTACACTTTCTTCCAACAGCAGCAACCACAAAGGCAAAATGAATCAACAGTAAAGGAGATTTCCTCAAGCTCCACTTTGTTCCAGCCTCCTCCTTCAGGCAGAGGCACCAGGAATGTGCTGTTTACACCTGGTTCTCAGTGGCTCATTAGGGCAGGACCTCCTAGCACCTCTGTTCACGTGACTTGATGGGTGAGACTTGCAGTTCCACTCAGAAGGGAGAGAATGGCGCTCCTCACTGGAGCTGGGTGGTTGTGGTGGCTGCACAGGGCGTTGGAAGCTGGAGATGAAGAAGCTCCGACGTTTCTCCTTGCAGGGCCCTCTGTACATTTCTATTCTGGAGGTGGAGGTAGAGCGCATCTTGCTGAGTCGCCCTCAGCTTGTAGGCCTCAAATGCTTTCTGGGCCCCCCGAAGAGCTATGTCCAGTATTTGGGGTGGGGAGGAGGATGAGGTGGTCAGTGAGAGCAGACCCTGATTTCAACCTCTGCTCACCTCTGCATTTCTCTCTTTTTCTGCTGCAGTCTGGGAGACCGAAAACACCGGTAAGAGGAACCTTGGCGAGGACAGACTGCTGTCTGTCTGTCCAGCAGGAGCTCAGTTTCAGGAGATCTTGACTCTGTCCGCTGGGATCGGGATGGGGTGGGGGTGCAGTGACTGTCATGGAAGTGGGGTCACAGGAAGATGGAGGACACAGCTCTTGAGTTCAAGGCCTTTGTGAGTTTGTTCAGGAGGATGGAACTCAGCTGTGGCAGGGCTAGTGAGATTAGAAAACAGCCTGTATGTGTTCATAGGGTCACGCATGCGCTTACACATGGGCCTGTACCTGTGTGTGATCTGCACAGATCTGTGCATCTCCAGTGGCTGAGAGGTTGGGATGCACAGTGAGGAAGAGAGCTGAAGGAATAAATACAAGCAGTACGCAGGCCGAGCCCTGAAGGGCCAGGGAGGCTTCCTGGAGGGGTGGTATGTCTTCTTGGAAACAGGATTTTAAAAAGAAGAGAGAAAATGGAGTTCATTGCTAGGCTACCATGGAATTTTGGCCTAAGAAAAGAAATGGGAATATAGAGTTAGGAGGGAGAGAAAGGTCTGAGGATGACGTGTCGGGAGCTCTGGGTTCCCTTTGGGAGGGCAGGTTTGGAGGTCGTGTTGGAGAGTGGAGCTGCAGGGAAGAAACCCCAGCTCTGAATCCCTGTCGCTGTCCCTTGACCTTTTCCATGCCCTCCCCTCCTGCTGAGAGACTCCTTGGAGTTCCCTCAGGGTCAGGTGGGGACTGAGTCACAAACCATCCTGAGCATCCCAGAGACACAAACCCGGCCAGCTCGGTGTTAGAAGCTGCAGAAAGGTGTGGGGATGCTGGGTGACGCAGCTTCTTGATCCCACCCCTGTCCTTGCGACCAGGAGCAGCTTTGGCCTTGGCAGTAAACAGTGGGTGACACAGCAAGTTGATAACCAAGCATATGAGCCCTGCCCTCATCTGTGTTTTGAAGGACACCTTGGTTTCTCTGGCAGTAACTCCATGGCTCTCTCAGGCAAAGGCTGGTCAGAGTTGCATTTGTTGCCCTGGGTGCTCTGGGACCCTATTGCTGGCTGGGCTTGGTCCTCTGTGGGTGTGTGGTCTTTGGGTGGCCACTTCTCTCATATATTTGTGGTTGTCTCATGGAAAATGGCACTTAAGCACACACGTTGAACCTGGTACATACAGTTGCTGGGGAGTCACGTATCTCTGGAAGCCTCTTCACGAATCCCAGGTAAAGGTCTCTGGATTAGATAGTTTCTGATAGTATTGATCTTGGTCACAGAGAACAGAGGTTCTCAGACTTTAATTGTGCATCACAGTTACATCCTGGCTTTGTTGAAATCCAGATTCTGGGACCTCACTCCAGGGATCTTTGATTTATGAGCTTAGGACAGGCGTGAGCGTGTGCGTTGCTAGCTGGTCCCCTACGTGATGCAGTAGCCCCATCGGGGAAGCACTGTCCTAAAATTCTGCACTTCTGTGAAGTTGCTGGGGCAAATCAGCCTAGTGAAGTAGGCATTGTCACTGCGGGGTTTGACAATCTGGAGAGCGCTCCATCTCCTGGAGATTTTAACAGTGTTCACAGAACAGTTTTGGAACAAAAGGGTTTACACTTTTCTGAGCCTACACTGTATGATAAAGAGAAAGGAAATAAAAGAAAGGATGTTTTTTTCTTCCAGGACATTTTTTAAAAAATTGTTTTTCAAAGCAGTTTCCCTTTCCTCTTTGCACTACCCTGAAGTGGGTAAAGTAGAGAGGAAATGAGGCCGGGGTGGAGGTGGGACTTGGCCAAAACACTTATTCTGCTGGGACTTTTGGACTTTCTGAAGAAGTGTTCAGAAGAACTTGGAAAGAGGTCACCATGGCAGCCTGGGAGAGATTTTTCTGGAAAAGGGCTGGCTTGGCACAGAGCTATGGGACACAATCGCATTCTTCTGCGGTCCCAGGGCTGGCCAAGGCTCCTCCTTAGTCTGCACACAGCACTCACACTGGAGAAGTGGAGGAGCCCAGTCTCCCCTCAGGCAGAACTCTCCTTCCACCAGGGTCCCCCCTTTTCTTCTTGCCAAGGCCCCAGGAAATGTTTCTGACTCTTGGCTGGAAAGATTGGCCTTCAGTCTTCCAGCTTAGCCCATGAAGGTGCAGGTTGGACAGGCACTGAGGTTCCCTTCTTGGCCTCTGCTGTCTGCTTTGCATCTCCCCGACCCACTGTCCTCTTAGCCTCCTTTCTGAGCTCCTCAGAGGCGGCTCTGGCCACACAGTAGGGGGATGGCGGGGGAGTTTCTTCAGCATTGTGAGCCCAGAGCCCCTTTTCTGTAGACATTACTTGTGTCACACAATTTCTTAGTCCCTGCAAGAATCAACCCCATAAGAGACCAGGTAGTTAATTGGAAGCCAGGCAGGGGACAGGTGTCCATCCAGGCAGTGCTCAGGTGCTGGTTAGAAGAAAGGGGGCTTCTGGATCTCTCCCCTTCCCTGGACATCTGCGGCCCTTCCTTACAGACCACTGGGCAAGGGGGAATGAAAAGAATATTCATTGGAGGCTAAAACAGCCCGTGGTCGTTTGCCGCCTGAAAACGACTCTTTCAATGACTGTGGCTGATCTTGCCCTTTTGGGCATCCCACAAAATGGCCTTAAAGTCAATTAAAAGAAAATTAAAGCGCATTATAGTGACAGGAAACAGACCACCAAATCTTTAAAGGCAGACATTAAAAAAAAAACCCCTAAGTATACGTCTTATTAAGGTCCATTGCTAGGTTGGCAGAGGTCTGGTCCTTGTTAATTAAGAAGCAAGCCAGGTGTCCCTTTGGTGAGGAATGACCCAGCTGCTGGGAGTCTCAGAGCTGCAAATTCAGGTGCCTCCTATGACTCCTCCAGGTGTGCGAAAGACTCTCACCTCATGGTCATTTGAGGCAATTCCCAGATGGGCACAATGTCCTGTTAGAAATCTAGAAATCCCTGGAGCTGGGGGATAGGGGCTCTGGAATCTGCATTTGTAATCAGTCTTGGGGTGTTCTTCTGCACATTGACATTTGAGAAGTGCTGACCCAGGGCCCAAGAAAGGGACTGTGACTATTTCAGAGAGCACTCCTGGGAATATTCCAGGGGAAGGATGTGGAAGTACTGGCTTTGGCAGGCGCAGTTTTCTTCCCTTTGGTTAAGAGATCAGCCTGCCCCTTGCCACACCCAACCCTGCTTCTTGGTGAAGGCTAAGCTCCAGGTCCCCAGCAATCACTGATGATTTAAGCCTCCTGTCCTTCCTTCTCAGGCAGGCAATGGCTTCCAGGACTTTCCATTTTTGCATATGAATTTAGGGCCCTTGTGACTATTTCTGCTCTTCACTAAGTTTTCTTTCACCGCAGACAAGGGCTCAGTGAGCCGGAACTGCACGGAAGAAGGCTGGTCTGAGCCCTTCCCTCATTACTTTGATGCATGTGGATTTTATGAGAATGAAACTGAGCCTGAAGACCAGGTGAGTCTCTTCCCCTCACCCCCTGTGGTGGTGGGCAAAGCTAGGGAACTCAGGATCTAGGCAGCACTTGGGAGCACCAGCTGTGCACCAAAGCCTGTGCACACGAAGGCAAGATGTTCTCTTACTGCCTTGGGCTGACCCTGGCTGCTACTTCAAGGATGCTGGCTTTCCTATGACCCAGCAATAGAGGGTTAATGCTGGGCCTAGCAGGAGCTTCCTGGACCCTTCTCCAGGCTAAGGCTACTTTCTGTTCTGAATGGTCAGTGCTATTCCTTCAATAGACATTTATTGAGCATGTGCAGAGTGACAATACAGAAGGGCGTGAGACACTCAGCCAGGAGTAGTGGGGCAATAGGAGGTGAGATCACTAGGAGAAGACAGGAAGGAGGAGCTGGGTCCAGTGGGGTAAGTCCTACCCGGGAGACTGAGCTCAGGCTCAAGGGGCAGTATTAGACTTCATGGGGAGCCCACCATGCTCTGTGCTCTGTGCCCTCCTCCAGGATTATTACTACTTGTCAGTGAAGGCCCTCTACACTGTTGGCTACAGCACCTCCCTGGTCACCCTCACCACTGCTATGGTCATCCTGTGCCGCTTCCGGTAAGACCCCAGCAGCCTCTGAGCTGGTGCACCCCATTACAGCTCAGAGCCTCTCTCCCTCCTTGGTTGTCAGCCCTGGAAGGTCACTTGGAAGGCACTCACCCACCTGTAGCACAGCAGATAGAAACCCTTCCCTAGAGAGGGCACCTGGTTTGTTCAGGCAGGTCTACCTTGCTTGCTTTTATATTCCTGGTCTAGGTAGAGAGAAGACACAGAAGGCCATATCTGCATGTGGAATCAGGGCCAGATACAAGGTCCTGGAAATCAGTGAGGGTTAGGTAGATGGGAAAGGGGGTGGCCTGGGTGGGGGCCCCATTTAGAAAAGCCAGTGAGAAGGCCCAGAGCCATCTGGAGGGTATGAGTGCTTTGGGGTTCAAGGCTCCCCGCTCTCTGACCTGCTCATGTAGGAAGCTGCATTGTACCCGCAACTTCATCCACATGAACCTCTTCGTGTCCTTCATGCTGAGGGCCATCTCTGTCTTCATCAAAGACTGGATCTTGTATGCTGAGCAGAACAACAACCACTGCTTCATCTCTACTGTGAGTGAGCCCAGGGGAACCCACCCACCACCCAAGGGTCACCCCCCCACACGCCTGACACCTCACAGAAAAGTGTGCCCCTGTGGGTGAAGGCACTGACTCCATCCATGGAGTCATCCTGGAATTGCCATACAGTTCCAGTGACGCTTCCAGTAGCCACAATGTATGTAGTCACTTGGCCTGGGCCTGGTACTTGGTAGGACAGTTGAGGAAGATCAGGTGGAAATGCCAGGTCCTGCTTGACCGAAAAAGAAACTGAGATTCAGAGAGGGCTTGCTGCGCTCTCAATTATTTAACTAGCAGTTCTAGAGCTCAGGAGCTGAGCTGAGCCCACTTTGGAGGAGGTAATATGTAGGCAGTAGAGGCTGAGCCTTGACGGAATGGGATGGAAGGAGCATCTAGCGTCCGGTCCTTGACTGGAACAGTGTGTGTGGAGGGTTTCTGTGTAAAAAGATTCCTGTGGGCCAGGCTTTGTATCCTCCCTGTGGGAGAGATTTCTAAATCCTCCCTTTATAAGGAGCCTCCTACAGAGCTGTCTGACTGCTTCTTTCTTCCCCTTCCCCGAGGGAGAGAGGGGAGGAAAGAAGGGGAGAACCAGCCTAGTGGCCCTGTGCTGTCGGCCAGTCCTTTCCCTGCATACCATTTGTCTACCTAGGCAGCTTCAACAGAGTCACAAGATGCTGCTGGTTTCAGCTTCTTTATCCAGGAAGTTCTCTCCCTTAGCTCCACGTGAACCCAAGCTCTCCTGCACTCAAGGCCCTCAGGACTCACTGCCTGGTCCCGTGGGGTTGGATTTTGGGACTTTTCTGGATGCCAGAGAAGCTGAAACTTCCTGGCCGTGGGCCTCCCTGTAGGTGGAATGCAAGGCTGTCATGGTTTTCTTTCACTACTGTGTCGTGTCCAACTACTTCTGGCTGTTTATCGAGGGCCTGTACCTCTTCACACTGCTGGTGGAGACCTTCTTCCCTGAGAGGAGATACTTCTACTGGTACATCATTATCGGCTGGGGTAGGTTTCTGTCTGTGCTTGGTGGGGCTCAGGCCTCTTGGCCAAGTATGTCCTGGGCTGTGGCTTCAGTGAGTGGCAGTGAGGAGGGAGCCCTGCCCTGGGCTGATGTCCAACTGCTCTTTCTTGGGCCCTTTCTTGCCCTTCCTGCCTGTGGGAAGCCCACTGTCTGAGGGAGAAGTTAAACCCAGGACGCCCTTCCCAAGAGAAAAGATACCTCTGGTTCTGAGGGAAATGAAGAGTCTCAGAAAGCCTGGGTGTGAGAGAGAGAGTAAAGGTCCCCAGGGACTGTGGAACTGAGCAGACACATTGGTTTTCCTTGTTATCATGGGCCTCCTTTTCTTGCTCTCTCAGGGACCCCAACCGTGTGTGTGTTGGTGTGGGCTGTGTTGAGGCTCTACTTTGATGACACGGGGTGAGTACATGCCTAAAGGCAGAGCTTGACCACAGAGTGAATTCTTACAGGTGGCTTCTCAGGGACTGCGTGTCTTCACGTGAACTCCACTGAACAACTGTCCAAGCCCTGGGTACCACCGAGCCATGATCCCACGCATGCCAGCTGTGTCTCTACCCAGAGTCACAAAAGAGTGTGCAAGGTTTCTGAGCCCACTGTGCTTCTGGGCCTAGCTTTGAGTATTTCCCTTTTCCAGGGGGTGAAAGAATGTTGAGGGTGATGTTGCACCCCAAGAGACCTGGATCTGAAAGGGATATATGGTGCTTTCCCAGGTGCCTAAGAATAGCTCCATTTTTATAATCAGAGCCTGGCTCCTACAGGCACCAAAGAGTTCTCCTTTCAGCTAGCTCCTCCTCAGGAGCTGCAGGAGGAGACTGGCTCCCAGCTAGCTGGGGCGGTGTTCTGCAAGTGTCCTTGGAAATGATCTCTCTTTTCTCTGTCTGCCCATCTTTTAGCTGCTGGGAAATGAATGACAGCACGGCTCTATGGTGGGTGATCAAAGGCCCAGTGGTTGGTTCTATAATGGTGAGTGGAAAAAGAAATGGAAGAGACACATGGAAGGGCACATGGGAGGGGAAGTGAAAGGGCCCCATATAAATTGGATTTCTTCTTCGTCATGGCTGCACTGTGTTCTGGAACATGGATGCACAAATTAGGCAGCTATTCCTCTACAGTAGGGCATGTATCTTATTCTATTTTTCCTCATTATAAAAGGTACCCCTAGGAATTACTTTGTGCAAAATTTTAGGCATTTGCAAATATTTCTTTACACAGTAGCATTGCATCGAAAGAGTATACATTTAAACTTTCAGATTCCACATTATGTTGCAAAAAATCCTTCAGCAATTCATACTTCCCCTGGAGGGGAGGCTGGTTTCCCCCATAATATTGTCTTTACTCTTAATGTCGATCATCGTACATTCCTGTGGAGGGTAGTGGTAGCCCATTTCTCCATGGTGCTAGTGTAACTGAGCAGTTTTTTCTGCATACTTATTGATGATTTGTTTTTATTCTGTGTATCCTTGTGTATTTCCTTTGCCCAGTTTTGAGCAAGTTGACTTACTTACTATTTGAAGGACAATAACACTGCATCTGTTAGACATGTTGCATTGCTGAGACAGCATAACCAGCAGCCTTTGTCTTTATGAATTCAGTGCCTCATTTCTTGTGTATGGAGGCCTTTCCCAACCTAAGATGTAAAAATATTTTTAAATTGTTTTATAACACTTGTGGATTAGATTATTACATGTATACCTTTCATCTGACTAAAATTTATTTTTTTAATCTGGCTTGAAATGATATTTAATTTTATCTAATTTTATTTTTCAAGGTTGTACATTCCACATTCTCAGTGTTTTTTATTGAATCCTTTCTTCGCTATGCTGGAATGTTATTTTATTATAAACACTTGATATACTTGTATTTGGTTTCAGACTTTCACTTTTATGTTATTAATCTATTTGTCTATTCCCATGGCAGGCGGTGCATTGATGATAACCTTGTAACATGGTTTGATATCTGATATGCAAATTTGTTTTCCTTTTATTCCCTATAAAGATTTCGTGCATATTTACTCTTTGAGTGGATTTTGAATACCTTTGTCAAGTTGCATTTTTTGGGGTAGGGGATACCAGGGATTGAACTCAGTCCCTTGCACTTGTGAGACAGGCAGTGGAACCACTGAGCCAAATCCTCGGCCCTCAAGTTGCAAATTTTTAAAAAATCTGGTTTAGATTTATGTAGAAATTGCATTGAGTTTATAAACTACTTTGGAGGAGAACTGATTTTCTTAAAAATTTGACTCTTCCTCTCCAAGAGTATGGAATTATTCTCCATTTATTCAGTCTCTAATGGAGCCATTTAGGTCAACTGTTTTAGTGTTCATCCTTGTTCTTGTTATATTAAGGTGTTTTTCAGTATGGGCTTTTGTTGGGTCTAGGAATCATATAATTATATTTTCAGAGGAGTTAGTTATATTGGCATGCTGTTGATTTTTGCATATTTTTTCTTTGCTTAGTTAAACTTCTGAACTCTCTTATTAAAAGTTTATAACCCTTTTCATTGATTCTAATGGATTTTCTAGGTAGAAAATTATGTATTCTGCAAACGAAAATGGTTTTGCCTTTCCTGGCAGTATTTGTCTCTTGGTTTTGTTGAGGTTGCTGTTTGCTCTACCTCTGGGCAGTGATCCTGCATTTGATTGGGAAAGTTCTTTCTGGCCTGATTTAGTATGTTGTTTTATTTTTTTTTTTTAATCAAGCATGAGTTTTATCAAATGTGTTTTGGAGACAGTTATAGGAGTGAATCATATGTTTCTGTAGTGATGGTCATGGTATTCCACTTTCATTTCATTATAAGCAATGCTATCAGGAATACATTTGTGCCCAGCTTGAGCATGTATGAAAATGTTTTTAGAATAAAATCACCAGAAAGAGGATTTCTGGGACAAAGGGTATATGCATTTGACACTTTTGTGACTAGAAAATTGCCCTCTGAGAATGTTCATTTCCAGTATTTCCAGTGGCTCTTTTGATATTTGAGGTTTCAATTATCAAAACAGTCATCTAGGAGATGATGGAAGCTTATTGTTCAATATGTTTTAACAAATACTAGTGGATATTTTGCATTTGTAAGATTAAATCTTTGTGGCTATTCTCTGTTTATTCCTTAATAAACTGCTAAATTCTGTGTTAATATTTTATTTAAAGCTTTTGTATTGCCTTTCATGTGTTCTGTGGTCTTACGATCTGTGTGTTTCTGTCTGTTTTCTGACCTTATCTGATTTTGGAAGCAGGATTTTGTTCGCCTCATGAGTAATCTAAGCAAGTTTCCTTTTATTTGCTTTGAATTTATTAAGTAGCATGTAAATCACATCTTCCTTAGATGTCCATAAAATTATCTGGACCTGATGCTTTGTAACTAGTTTACACCTTTACCTATTCAAAAAATTTCTTCCGAGGTTATTATTCTGATTTTCTCTTTCTCGTATAGTTATTTTTAATTTTGATTTTATCATTTTGTGTGATGCTTTCTTGTGGTTTGAAATAATTTGTACATCTTTTGTCCTCTTTCTCACCCCTAAATTTGCTTAATTGTATTTTCTTCTTTTGAATTGACTAGCACGTGAAGTGAACAGTATTTGCTGTGTTAATTCCAGACACTGATTAGACACTAGCTATGTAGCAGAGATCAAGATAGATAGAGTAAGACATATGTTTTATCATTCTAACTGATCTGTAAAAACAAACAAAATAAAATTTTAGTTTTATTGATCAAATCTCCTATTTTTCCAATTCCTCTTAAGAGTTTTTGACCTCTGTTAATTTTCTTCCTGTAGAAGTTAAATTAAATTTGTGGTTATCTTTCTCTAGCTTGTTTTTTTCCTGGTACTGGCCATGAAACTCAGGACCTTGTGCTTTCGAGGCAGGTGCAGTGCCACTGAGCTAAATCCCTGGCCTTTCCTCTTACTTTTGATTTGAATGCTTAGTTATTTTTCAGCAAGTATTATTTTTAATGGATTGGTTTTAGGCTCTCTGCTATTTTCCTCCAAGGGATACTTGTCAACATCCCCAAGACAGCCCTGAGCAGCCCTCTGGCTCCCCTTCCTCCTCCTTTCTCACCTTGTTTAGAAAGCCTTTGTCACTTTAATCTAAAATCTGCCTTTACCTAAAGGCAGATGCTGCTCTTTCTGGTCTCAGGCCTCCCTGTCATTAGCCCTGCTCTGGTGTCCGTGCTGCTTCCCCAGATCCCATGCTCTGAACTTGGAGTTTCTCCAGAGAACAGCTCTCACCTCTGCAGTGGCCTCTTCTGTCTTTCCAGTTGTAGTTTTTCCATCCCTCTCGTCCTACTTTCCCTCTCTCTTCCAGAAGGTATTCATTTTCCTGCCTCACTCATGATATTTGTTCCCGTTTCCTAGCACTTTTAGGGCATTTCATTTCTCTACCCTTTCCTTTCTTTCACTGACACTGGGAGGCTGGGGAGATGCCCTGGAGTTCTTGGATTAGAAATCTATGTGCTCTTGACTGCACAGCTGCAAGAGGGTCCTGCTGGGGAGTAGTAGTCTGTGCAGAGGCAGGGCTGTGCCAAATCTTTGCCCCGATTAACTTTTTCTGCTTTTTCTTTGCTCCTCAGGTTAACTTTGTGCTTTTCATTGGCATCATTGTCATCCTTGTGCAGAAACTGCAGTCTCCAGACATGGGAGGCAATGAGTCCAGCATCTACTTGTAAGTACCGTCATGCGGATGCCACAGCCATTCTGAATGCCACATGGGCCTGCCCTTGGGTCACAAGTGAGAGAGGCTTGGGCTTTGCTGACAGGGCAAGGTAGCACAGCCATTTGCAAGATTCCTTCCTAATTAAAGTGTCGTTAAAATATAGACAGACATATTTTAAAATATAGTTGCCCTCCAGGCTTTAGGCAGTTCTGGAGCACCCAGTCTGCCTGTCATTATGCGGAAGGGGAAAGAGACTGATTCAACCTGTGTGACACTGGGAAAATCAAAGTGGGAAGCACCGTACTGCCTATGGTCATTAGGGGCTTGGTTGTTTAGAGTTGGGGTTTCCATCGGGATTTCTGGCTCTGTGGGAAGCTTGTCAGCACCATTAGTAGGTCCACACCCCAGGCCAACATGAAAAAGTTGCTCAGTGCCCACTAGTGACACAGGAAGACGTTTTCCCTGGACCAAGTATTCTGTTCTCTGCCTTCTCTGAGGGCAGCTCTACCTCTGCATCTGTCTGATACTCTTTCGTCGACAAGCAAACATTTGCTTTGTTTGTGATTATTGGGGGTTCAAGGGAAACCTCTTACCATGGCGTGCAAGGCGTTCTTGACTTTCATAGCCTCTTGGTTTCTGAGGAACCTTTTGTAATCATGGCCCTTGGAGCGTATCCTGCCAGGTCTCTTCCAACCCTCTCCGCTTCCTGTCTTGCCCCATCTGAAATCAGACAGAGCATCCCTACCACACCCTGCAGGCCATGTGCATGGGAGAGTGACCAGCTGGGGTGTGGGGTATGGGAATGTTTCTGATGCTGAAGAGAAAGCCTGGTGATCCACTATGGTTGGTTAGAGGTACACAGCAGGAGCCATAAGTCCAGCTTTCTGGATTCTTTCAGAATACGTGAAGTTAGAAGGAGCTTGCTTGGTTGTCATTGGGTGCTTGGTCCTGGCTTCATCAGAGGCTCCAATCTGAGCACACAGCTTTGATGGCTGGTTGCCCAGGAAACAATGGGTGGGACAATAGGGAGATCCCAGCACAGAGCTCCTGGAGTACCTCAACTGTTCTAGAGACAGGGATGGGGTTACTGCTCACAGATCAAGTCCAGACCCCTCCTGAAGATTCCTGAGGGCTTCCCCAGCAGGGTGGAGCTTGCTTTTTCCCTGTCTTGTAGCCTGGGTATTTCCCCTTTCCTTGCGGGGGCGGGGGGGGGGGATTAGCCGAGAGCCTGGATGTTCATTGTGTTTCAGTGCTTCTGTAATGATTACATTACATAGGAAGACACTTGTTTTGCTATTCATTTACTGTCTTTTTGTCTCCTGTGTAGTAGAAAATTGTTCAATATAAATTATAACATCTTGGTGCGGCCAGCCCTCTACCACCACCTAACTAACCTGTCCTAGAGCAATCATTCCTGCCTTCATCTCCAGGAATCACAGAATAGGACCCTGCCAATCCCCTCACCTCCCTGCTCAGGGTTAGAAACCATGACCTTGTATCTGGCCTCAATTTCTCCTGCTTGACTGCGGATCAGCTTTTGCATTGAGAGCAATTGTGTATTTGGAGCTGACAGACAGCCAAGTCAGCCATGTTCTCACTTAAGCAACCTTCATCTCCTCCTCCCCTTCCTGGCAGGATCTGTTTCTTTTTCTGAGGTCCTGGGGCCTCTTCTTTAGAAGGGATCCTCCCAGTTTCCCTTCTTTCTGCCTGCGCAGGGACACACACACCTGGGCTCACGCAGCTTCACGCAATTCGGGACAACCTGCTGAGCCCCGATCACACTTGGCCAGCTCCGACATCCTGCCCCAGGCAGCAGGGTCTGATGGGGAGACGTGGGCCTAACATGTCCACGCATTAGGAACCATGGAGTTTCATCATACATCTTCCTGAAGCATCAATGAGAAGCACTCATGCATCGTACATGGTTTACACATTTAAGTGTCAATCTAGGACATTTAAAGAAACAAGTAGTTTGTTTGCTTCAATAAAGTAAAAGCATCTTCAACATCTCTGTGCAATCTCAGTAAATTCTTTTTTAGAGGAAAAATAAGAAGGATTTCTCTAAAATCCTGTTAGCTTTGAGCCTTACAGGGTTAAAAACTTGGGTGGATACAGTCAGCAAGGCAGGTGGGAGGGCCGAGCTGGATGAGGGATCCGCTTGATCCTGCTGAATTCAGCCACATGTTTGAGTTTTCCAGGGTCAAGGAGACTCTGTGGGTGAGTATGAGTGATGATCCCAGCGACAGTGTCACTGAGATTTACAGAGCACTTAAAATACTTGCAACTTGGTCTGTGCACATTTACCGTTCACAGATCCCCTGTGCATCTGGTAGGCTAGGTAAGCAGTTGTTACACAGAATTCTCCCGCTACAACCCAGGGAACTAGCTGCCAGTGGCACACCACACATCTGGTGGGAAGGAGTGAGCAAAGCCACTGCTGCAGCACAGGTAGGCCCTGCCCTCAGCCTGGCTCCACAGCATTGCTGTGAAATCTATAAAATAAGGCTTCTCGGAAGAAGAGGCCCCTGGTGGGCTCAGCCCTGTGTGAAAGTGTCCCCAATCTGGAGGACTCGGAAGAGGAGCTGGCTCTGTGCAGGGAGTATCTGTGTGGGGAGGAGGGGAGAGCCTGGGAGGAGGAGGAGGAGGAGGAGGAGGAAGGGCTTGGGGGAGAGGGAGGGCCCAGGGCTGTGCCCAGGACCCCTGGGACCCAGTGTTATGTGTTAGGCTGTAAAGCTCTTTTGGTTCTGCCCACAACAGCTGTCTGGTTTTTTCCTCTGTTTCCAGAACAAATTTAAGCCTGGGAGTCCCCAAGAAAGCCCGAGAGGACCCCCTGCCTGTGCCCTCAGCCCAGCATTCACTGTCTTTCCTGTAGGTTGGTTCCAGCTGCTGAGATGAAGGGTTTGTCCTCTCTAGTCCAAGACGATGTTCCCTACCCAGCCTTGGAAGGAGTTGGGGTGTGGGATCCTGCAGGGGGCAGTGGTCCTGAGCTATCCCTGCTCCACCCTGATGTTCCTGGTAGAATGAGTGGCTAGGCTTAGGGCTTGGGTAGTGGCCAGAGATGGAGCCAGGGACTGTGTCAGGGCTCGGCATGGGCCCAGGGTTGACTTGGTCTTGGACAGGAGATAGGGCTGAGTGTTTATCTGGGGAAGGATTAGCCTGCCTTTGCCTGAGAGTCCAAGTTTACCACCGTGTGCAGCTCACTGTCTTCAGAGGGGGAAGGCTGAGGTTTCTGCAACAGACACGCACTGTACAGGTAGAGCCTCCACCCCTTGCCCTGAGGTGACCTAGCTTCATTTGCAGTGGGAGTCCCTTGCAGAAGATGAGCATCAGAAGCTAACTCTTGGCCTAGAGGGGAATCCCCCTACACCCCATGCCTGTGTTTCCTTAGCCCCACCAGAGAGGAAGGCTCAAGTCTCCCAAGATCCACACCACTATTCAAGGCAGCTTTGCAATCAGGAAGGTCAGGCTCGGGGCTTCACCCACAGCCAAAGGCTTCCAGTTTATAGGGGTAGGAGCTTTATCTTCCACTCCAAAAGCATCCCCTGTACACACACACACACACACACACACACACACACACACACACACACCTAGGATCATCCCATCCTTGCAGTTCCTATGAGAGATTGGCAGCAGGGAATTGTTATTTTGCAGATGGAGAAACTGAGGCCCAGAGAAGAGCAACACTTAAGATCACCCAGAAAGTCAGTGTCCAAACAAAGCCTTGAGCTTGGGTGCCAGCTTCCTAGCTGGGACTGCTCCAGGAGGGCAGAAGGCACAGAGAGCTGTCCTGTCCTCATAGTGGAAGAGAGGTGGTCGTGTCAAGGAAGCTCCCAAGATCTGTCTAGCCATGCTTCTGACTGGGTTGGTAGTGTAGAGGGGGTGCTTCTTGGGGACTGGGCAGGGTTCTGGGGTGCACAACATCTCAGCATCGGAAAGGACCCTGTGGCATATAGTCAGCCCAGACCCCTATGTCCTGTGACCACCGAGGACCCAACATGACATTGATCCCTAGAATCACAGACGCCTCGGCTGCAGCCCAGCCATCCCGCACACAGAGGCTTACAAACACTCACCATGCGTGTCCACTGTGTTTGCTGGGTCCTTGGCTGTTACTGGTAGATGTGAATGTCAAGTTCTGGGGATGGCTTTGACCTTCCTGCAAACTTATAGCCAATCCAGGCCTGGAGGCCAGGGCTCCAGCGGGGGGGCTCACCTGCAGACCAGGTGCTGCATCTACCACAGGGGCCTCCCGCCTTCTGATTATAGTGGCTGCACTCTCCAGCAGCCCCATCCAACACCCTCGGCTGTTACTTATTCTCCCTTGGTGCCAACTCTGAACAATCTCAGCAGCCTGCTGAGGCTCATCTCTTCCTCTTGATAAAGTTTCTTTTCCCTTTTCACTAATTGTCCTGAGATTCCCCTGTCTCTCTCTTTCTCATGCTCCTGGCTCTGGCTATGCTGCCACAGTCTTGTTCTATTTCTTTTCAGTGCATCCTTTTGCACAGACATTGAAGGTCTGGGGAAGAGCCTTTCCCCTTTCCCCTTTCCCCTGAGAGCCCTCTGGGTCATCCTCCACTTTCCTCTCCGATCTGCCTTCCTCTCCCCCCATTAGAGCCTCACATCCAGCAAACTAGTCAGTGAATGTTCTGTAGAAAACTTTCCAAAAATTTTTTCAAAATATTAAAGGAGCCCCATGTTTCCTATAGAAATCTCTTGGTTCCAGGAAGGGCAGGGGCAGTTTTGGAGCTGAACATAAAGGGGTGTCAGGGAACAGCTAAAGCTTGGACTTCAGAGTGAGGGCTTCAGCATGGCACGTAGGCTCTCAGGCTTCTCGACCGGATTCTGTGGCCCACCCCAGTTGAGGCGGAAGGGTCATGGCCATAGGGAAATAATAAATGTGATGTACAGAGTAGCTGACATCCCTATAGACCTATTTGTACTCTTTTAATTAACTAAAGAAAGCATTCTTATTCGCATCTGTCCCTTTGTACCTAGAAAAAAACCCTCTAACCTTCATTGAGGGTATTTGAAAAATTCTCTGACACATGCGTATCTCAGTGGCTTCTCAAGCATTGACGGGAGTGTGTATTATCCCAAGACTTCTATTAAAATCCAGGTTCTGAGCAAATGACAGGTTGGGTGGCAACTGAGACATTTTTTTTCAGTCTTGAGAATTGAACCCACAGCCTTTGCACTGAGTTACTTTCCCAGGCGTTTAATTTTTTTTTTTTTTTTTACATTTTATTTTGGGCTGGCCTCAAATTTGTGATCTTCCTCCTGAGCCTCCCAGAGTGTGGGATTACAGGTGTGACCACCATGCCCAATTTAGAGCCTGTGTTTCTAAGACATACTCAGGCAGACCTGCTGTTGCTGTCTGCGCCCACTCTGAGTAGCAAAGCATCAAACCACAGCTCATGATTCTCTTCTGCAAAGTAGGCCCATGGTACTCACCTCACAGGTGGTGTGAGAGGAAAGAAGACGTTGGTTAAATGAGAACCACAAACTAGAGGGGTACAGATGATGGCCAGGATGCTGAAGGTCTAATTTGTCCTTCGAATCTGCCTTCACTGACATCTGATCTACTCTGGATATCAGTACCCCAGCCAGTTACTAGTAGCCTCAATGTTACCTGCTGAGGAGGGTTGGTGAAGTAGTAACTCCTGCAGTCTAAGATGAAACAGGTTTTATCCACCCCTGAAAAGCATCAAGAATGGGAGGACCACTAAGGGCCAGTAGAAGAGGGGGTTAGACTGAGGTTCCTGTGAGATAAGGGGTGCCCTCTCCATGCCCAGCAGAGTGTGGAGCTAGACTGGTTGCTGGGGCCGCCTCCTTCAGGGGACACCAGGTCAGTGTCCAAATGGTGCTCTCTCAGTCCTCAGCTCCTGCCCTTGTGCTTTGATCCAGGCCAGCCTAGGCCTGTCTCTAAGGACGCAAATGCCTGTGTCCCTGTGTCCAGTATGGTCGCCACCAGCTACATGCAGCCAGGAACCCACACGATGTGGTAGAGCAATTGAGGAAGCAGAATTTAATTTGATTTAATTTGAAGTCTAATAGCCACACTTGGGTATTGGCTATCACATGGGATACTGCAGGGCTAAGCTACTTGATAATACAGTCAGTCCAGCTTACCTCTGCTCCCCTGTGTGCCTTGACACATTGGGCTTGGGAGGCAGTAGGAGAGGGGGGGAGAGGGGACATCCAGAGGACAACTAAGGGCCCTCGACAATCAAGCCAGAGTTCTGACGTGCCAGACAGCATGTGAAGTCCACAGTGTGTTTCCAGCTGTTCATCTCACTGAGTGATCCCCAGTGAGTCCATGCCCTGAGCTTGGGGCTGACACTGGAGAAAGCCTCTGGTTCCTTGCTTAATCCCCACTAGGCCCTTCTTCCAAACACGCGTTCTGCTCTAAGCCCACTTACCTACCAATGGTCCCAATGCGAGTGCTTCTATGTGCATGTACAACCATGCACACACTTGTGCACATCTAAGTGTGAATTTCTCTGTCCAGAGCTGACCATGTCTCAGCTCTCAGCTTCCTCCTCCTCCACATGACTGCCCTGGCCCTGCCTCCTCCTCCTCACTCTTCTGCCCACCTGCCCTCAGTTTCTTCCTTGCCCGAGGCCCCCAGCTGACAAAAGTGCTAATCTTGTCACACCCAGCAGCTGCGTGCAGAAATGCTACTGCAAGCCACAGCGGGCTGAGCAGCACTCTTGCAAGATGTCAGAACTGTCCACCATTACTCTGTAAGTGTGTGTGGCCGTGGCTGTGGCCGGGTGTCCTGGAGGGGAGGGAGACGCATGCTGTCGCCACTGCCGCCACTGGCTTAAGCTTGTGTCCCGCCGGGCTGGAGAACGTGGAGCGCCAACCTGTGCCTCCTGGCCCAACCCCACTTCCTGGCTGCTGCATGCTGATGTCCTAGTGTCTTGTGAGTTCTCTGCAGTCCTTTGGTCCTGGGGCGGACGGGCAGACTGTGAGGATGGAGCTGCAGCTATTGCAGGAGCATCCTGGGGCTTGGCCTGTGCTGAGGAAACAGCTGTGCAGTCTCTGTCAGTGCTGCCTGGTGTGTGGCCCTCTCCAAATTCTTGACTTCTCTGGGCTTTGGTCTGGTCTCTGCAACTGCAAAATTATTTCTAAAAGTGTAGACCTCTGTTCACAGATACTGTCCCCTGCACAGGGCAGCAGACCTCACTCTGTGTTCAAGAGTACTGTCTGTGTGAGCTAGCAGCCACAGTGACCCTGTGAGTTGGGTCCTTGTATTATCGCCATTTCACAGATGAGAAAACTGAAGCACAGAGAGCCAAATTGATTCTCTCTAGGCCACATAATGGGCAGGGTATGGATTTGAACCCAGAGAGTCATTAGCACCATGTCCCAGGTAGTATCTGACCAGAACGCCAGCCTCTATTTGGGCATTCGTGTTGAGTAGGGCACTGCCTCCTTGGCTGCGCGCTGGGTACCTGTGATCATTGGGAGCTCTTGGCATTTCAGGACTCTTCTACCTTGGGATGGGGCCTTGGGGGAGGAGGATGGAGGCCCAGCATCGCTGTCTCTCTAGGCTTATCAGATCCTAGAGTGAGGCTCACATGTCCCATGCCAAAATGACCTCCTCATCTGTCCCTGTCCTGTCTGCCAGAGGGGATCCTGAGTTCCTGAGTCTCCACCTGAAGCACTGGACCACACCAGGGTTGCTATAGGGCCTTGGGGAGGGATGGTGCCCTGGGACTGCTCCATAGGACAGGCTCAGTGCAGTCATCACATCATCCTGTGGCTAGCAGGGCTTGCGCTCATGCCCCAAAGGTCCCTGTTTCTTATACTCTGAACCTGACCTAACACCACTGTGGAAATTGGGAAGGTTTGACACTTTGGTTCCCTGGGTTTTCAGAACTGCTCCCCTCAAGTGGCACAGCCCCCAGCACAGCAAAGCTGCTTACTCTTGGCCACTTTGCTCTTCTGACTTCTGTGCCAGCTACAAATATCCCCTGCTTTCTTCCTTCCCAGGCCCTGGGGCCACACAGACTCCAGGAGCTGGTGCCTGTGTGATCCACTTATTCCTTTATGCAGCAGAGTTGGTTCTGTGCTGATGTGCTTGCTGTGGGACATGACAGAGATAGACAGGGGGCTGCCTGGTGTTTAGGGGCCATAGTCAGAAACAGATCAGAGGACAGCTGAAAGGATGGCCCACCTCGGTTCAGAGCAGCGACTTGCTCAGCTCCTACTGGCCCTGCCTTGGTTCAGGAACCCCAGGGCCTGCAAGAAGGTGCTGCCCGTGAGCAGTAAGCAGGGAGGGGACAGTGAGCACCCCACTGCCACGCCCAGTCCTTTCTGGGCTGAGCCTCCTCCTGCTGAAATCTCTTCAGACTCTGCTTCCTTCCTTTGTGTCTTCTCCCCTCCCCCTTTGCCTCCTCCTCACTCCTGCCTCATCCTCTCTTATAGGTGCCCGGATGTCAAGGCCTCACACAGTCTGTGGGTCTGGCGTTTCTAGAAATCTGGAGCCCATCCCATTCAGTAGAATGTTCTCTCCCAGCAAGGCTGGGTTTCAGGGAGAGGAGGGACACACAGTGTAACTGCCCCCAACCCAGCAGCCACCCTGAAACCCTTCGACCATTTGGGCAGACCCAGCTCTGCCAGGAGAAGGTGAAGCTGATGTCCTGGAAGAGCTGGGCTGGGCACAGCAGGGTGGGGCTGAACTCTTGGAAGCCAGTGTGCAGGAATGGCGGAGATGGGGCCCCACCTTGGGAGCGCCCCGGGGAGAGTTCCTTCCCATGGAGCAGCAACCAAAACTGCTGCTCTTGCCATGGGCACCCATGCCCCTCACCCTCAGTACAGGGCCCAGGACTGCTGACCCAGGAGTGTGGGGAGAGCTGGTCTCGGAAGGCCTGGTGGGGTCCCCAGAGCAGATATCCTTCTCTTCATTTGACTTAGTTTGCTAGGTGACAGCTTCCTTCTGCCCAGGTGGAGGTTTATGTTCAGAGTCAGTAAGCCCTTCCGAGGATCCTTCCCAGTCTCCCTCTGTGGTCCACCCAGTGCTCTCCCTCCCTGTCTTCATATCTGCTGTTGCTCTCCATGGATATCCCCAGTTAGACCTAGACTCAGAAACCACTGTCTCTGTAGGCCTTAGAGGCAGCCCTGTTGGGGCGCGTAGAGCTTCCTTCTGGGTTTGAGAAGGTTTGCTTTGCCTCAAGCCTCCTGAACCCAACCCCAAGTTTTGCCCTGACTTTATCTTCCCGAAGGTTTAGCACATCACCCATTCTTGGTGGCTCTGCAGGATACTGAGTGGGGGCCCTGCACGCTGGGAGGGTACCCGTAATAACCCAGGGAGCCCTGGGAGCCAGTTGAGAACGCTGAGCAGGTCTCAGATCAGGGTATCCAGGGAGTGAGAGGGTTGGGACTTCATTCTCTGCCTTGGTGACTCTGCTCTCGAGTCCTGGCAACCCCCAGAGCATATGTTTCACTTTTCTTCCAACAGACGGCTGGCCCGGTCCACACTGCTGCTCATTCCATTGTTCGGAATCCACTACACCGTATTTGCCTTCTCCCCAGAGCATGTCAGCAAGAGGGAGAGACTCGTGTTTGAGCTGGGGCTGGGCTCCTTCCAGGTAGGCGTGGTACATGCAGGGCGAAGCTCCCCAGGAGCCAGGGCCTGGCCTCTGACCTGCTGGTGGCCCTGGAACATCTATAACCCTGGCTCTGGGCCTCAGTGTTTCTGTCTCTGAAATGAGTACCAACACAGGAGTGTGCTGCGAGAGCCCTGTCTGCAGCATTAAGGAGACACATGAGTGTCTGGCTGTCACCATGTCTGGGGACCCTGAGCCAGGCCCCCTTGGATAACCTGAGGTGGCAGCTCCCCAGTGGCCTGGGCTTCAGGGTAGATGGCTCTGACAGCCCTGTGTGTCCACATCCGGACTTCAGCCTGCTAGACCTTCTGCCTCCTGAGGGCTGGAGTTCTGCCTCACTCAGGTTGGGGGTCCCTGGCACAAGGTCCCGGCACAGGACCCAGCCACAGGACCAAGGCTGAATGACACAGCAGCTGCAGATGCCAGGGTGGGAGGGGCTGAGGGGGCGGGCGAGGGACCAGTGAGTCAGTGGGCCTGGAGGCAAGTGAGTGAATCACAGTGGGAAGTGAGCAGATGGGAGGAGCAGTGGACCCTGAAAGGAACCACAGCTCCCTGGGCGTCCTCTTCTAAGTGACCTGTTCAAATTAGCACGTGAGCTTGTTGGTCAGGAAGTTACTCTCTGTATCCGACTTACTTCTCCCCCTGCCCCCGTTTTAATTCAAGGACTTTTTACCTGGCTCAAGTGCTTGGCCTGGTGAGGCTGGGAATTTCAGACAGCATTCTGACCCCAGAATCAGAACCCGGGGCTTTGGCTGTGGTGCTTGCCAGGGTCTCCCAGCTGTCATTCCTCACATACTTGCACATATGAGCCCCCCAGCTTGGGCGCTGTGAGGAGCAGCTTGGCAGTGTGCAGGAAAATGGGCTTTCTCCGTGTCCCTGGCACTAGCTAAATTCCCACTCTGTGCCAAGTGCTTCCTCCACACGGACATACAGGAGTGCGCGGCTGAATGGGGAGATGGTAACAGCAAGGGAGGCCACAAGTCTGTTCTGTCCTGGAGATGTCCTGCCCTCAGGAGCCTGTAGACTGTTGGAGAGCTCAGAGGAAATTCCGCAGCATTCAAAGAAGGGTTCCTATTGAAAACAGGAAGGAGCTGGCCTTTGACAATGGAAAGAATTTGACCGAGGTATATCCAAAGCCGAGGTGTATTGGTGGTGACTGGTCCACCAGCCACCTGGCTTCACAGGTGTGCCTATCTTGATGGAGCAGAGTGACATGTGTCCCATCATACTCCGTATCCCTGGGCAGCACCCCAGACCAGGTCACTGTATTTTGGTGATTCCTAGTGTCTCCTCAACTCCTGGTCTTCCCACATGCCCAGGCACACAGCACTCAGAACATCCTTTGCCAGCACACTCAGGTTTGCCTTTTCTCTCTCCCCAGGGCTTTGTGGTGGCCATTCTCTACTGTTTCCTGAATGGGGAGGTAAGACTCTGGCCTTCCAGCTTTTCAGCAGTAGAGGTGAGGCTTGCTGGAGTGAATTCCTCTGTGGAGGGCACGGCCAAGCTCCCAGTACTGACAGGAGAGGGCTGGTCATGCATCTGTCAGTGACCATGTGGTACCAGTACCATGTGGCACCACAGTCTCTGCCTGTGCCAGACTCTCTCCCACTGTACAGCTGAGGCCCAGACTGCAGCACAGAGCTCCACCAACAAAGGCACCTGCTCTGCTGCTCACAGAGCTCTGACAGAGCATTCTCTCCATGAGCCACACCTCAGTGAGCGGGAGGTGACAGTGAGGAAGAGGAACAGAGGGGGTTGCCTGTGGGTTAGAAGTAACAGGCAGGGCTGCAGTGCTCAGTGCTGCATGCAGCAGGCCAGCCTGCCTGGCCCACACATGCTCCCTGATAGAGGAGGGACTGTGAGGATCTGGAAGCGGCCCCAGGAAAAGACCTGAAGCCTTCCTATAATGTCCCATTTCCAGAGCTATACTTTTGGGCTCCCTCTCTAGCCTGTTGGGGTGGTGCTCTTGGGCAGAGCCTAGAACAGAGGTACCGAGGCAGGGGCAGGGCCTAGATGGGTGGCCTGGGCTTGGGGAGTAGACAAGAGTAACAACACTTAATTTTTTTCTGCATGACTGTGACCTCAGTAGGCTGCTTTCTTTTTTGCATCTGAGAAGCTAGGGCTTGGTGATCATCAGGACAATCTACAGCAAGGATCATTTTAGGACAGCTGGGGAGAGGCAGAGAGGGCCCTGCACGAGGAGCTGGGAGAGCCAAGAAGTAGGAGTATGTGTAGCTTGTGAAGAGCCTGTAGTGGAGGTGGGAGCTGGAAGCGGAGAGAGTGGCTGGGCTGTGTTTCCAGTGGTGCAGTTTGTGCACTGCACTAAACTGATTGGCTGCAGAGCAGATAGGGACCGAGAGTCACTTGGCATGGCCCCCACTCACCAAGCCAAGAGCAACACAGTGATATGGTGGCCCAGAGAGGAATTATCTCATGAATCTCAAGCCTGACTACTCACTGGAATCACCTAGAAAGATTATTTATTTATTTATTTATTTTCCTCATTGAGTTTATTGGTACATTTTAGGTATACAGTACAGTTACATTCATCGTTGGGATCTTGTACCTTTACATGACAGGTCTTGGTTCTCATTTTTTCCCCTTGTCCCTGCCCTCCCTTCCCCTCCTCCTCCCTTCCCCCTTTACAAACACTTCATTTCCATATTTTCATTTTCTCACATTTTTTTCTTTTCCCTTATTACCTTTCCCCTACCCCTCCCACTTTCCCTACACCTTTAGCCCCTTTCTTCCTATTTCACCTTGTCAATTATATCATTAGGATCTTATGTACTCTTATAGTTTTTCGCACTAGAGAAACTGTTTGGTATTTACACACATGTGACTTATTTATTTCACTTAGGAGTATAAGTGAGAAAGTTTTAAAGTCTATGGATGTCTGGGTCTTACCACATGTAAATGTTCATGTGGTCTGGGCATCTGGAATTTTTAATGCTCCCCAGGTGATTCTTAAGTGCAGCTCACTGCTAATGGTTAGTGAGAGTAGGAGTCCTCATGCTGATCCCTGTGCCCTGAGGGACTGCTTATTGAAGATACAAGTGAGACCAGACAGCCTGGCTCAGGTAAAATAGGAAGCCATCTGTCCACAGACCTTGCCCAGACAGTGACTTAGGAACATCTGTAGGCTGCGGTTAGGCAGGAGGAAGGGCTGGAAGGGGCAGTGGCATAGCATCGGGAGGCCTCAGGCTGTGCAGGGCTGATAACTGGAAGGGAAGTCCACCCAGAAGTCACAGCCCAATTGTTCCCTGCAGGTGCAGGCAGAGATCAAGCGGAAATGGCGGAGCTGGAAGGTGAATCGCTACTTCACCATGGACTTCAAGCACCGGCATCCATCTCTGGCCAGCAGTGGGGTGAATGGGGGAACCCAGCTCTCCATCCTGAGCAAGAGCAGCTCCCAGCTCCGCATGTCCACCCTTCCAGCTGACAACCTGGCCACCTGAGCCCCGCTGTCCTCTCCTCCTGCACAGGCTGGGGCTGCAGGCAGGTGTCTGTGGCGCATGTTTGAGCCTCTCCTCACCCCTTGGGCAGGTCCTGGCTGGAGCTTGGCTCCTCTCCAAGGGAGAGAAGGAAATAGGGCACAATCTGCTACCGGCCCCTCTGTTTTGGTACTGGCCCCACCCACCACGGTCCCCTGGGCCCTGACTTGACATGTAAATACCCCTCAGATTTGGAAGTCTGTCTCATCCTTGCTTCTCTCACCTCAGCCAGGCTCCAGCTCCACCCCACTGTCTGGCTAGCCTCAGTGATGGTCTGCCCCCAGGCATGAGGCCTTGTGAGCTGAGGCTGGAAGGACCCTGGTCTGGAGAGTCTGGGGTGGTACCTGCCTCAACAGCCCCCTCATGCCTGACTTCAAATGTGGGCCCTTCTCAGCCCTGGGCTCAGCACATCACAGTGTCCCAGCTCCTGGATGCCAGGGCAGTGGAACAGCTCCCGGGCTTTTTCAGTCAGAGACTTCACTTGTGGGGTGGGGGCTGAGGGTCAGGGAAAGTTCTGGTGCTTTTCATTTGATCCAAGAAGAACTGAGAGCCAGAAATGTGCGTACGAATGGAGAGGAGATGGAGGAGTTTGGAAGATCCATGGAAGAAGACCTTCCCCATCTCCATCGCTCCACCCCTGATGCAAGATGGGCATGGTTCATCTGGTAGCTACCATTCCACCTTCTGTCCCCAGGGGCTACTCCAGAGAAGTTGCTCCCCAGTCACCCCTACTATGGAGAGTCTGTGTCCTTGCCCTCAATTCCCCTTAAGTCAAAGCCATGACTAGAATGAACTAGCTGCCTTCCTGTGATGTCAGCAAGTCCAGAAGCACCTTGCACCTCCATGTGCCCAAGTCCCTGGCCCAGGGTTCACCCACACTCCACCTTAATGGATGATGAGCCCCAGATGCCAGCTTTTCTGGCCTGGACTCAGCTTCTGAACTTTCTCAGAGACCTCTGCGAAGACTTCCTTGAGTGCCCTTGGCATTGGATTCTTGTAGGCTGCTAGGATGTCCTGAAGGGATAACTCGTCCACCATGTCCATTAACAGAAGCCGCTGATGGGTGGAGTGGCTACTTAGCAACACCCATCCTAGCTCCCAGCTGCAGGTTGCACAGCCACGGCCTAAGAATTACAAAAAACAGGCACAACCAGGCAGCAACCAGGAAAGCAGAGGAAAGTGCTGGTGTGCAATGGCCCATGTACCCTAGCTCATTCCATCAGCTCTTGGTCTTGTTCATGTCTGTGTGGTTGAGAACTTGCTTCATGATCCTGTTGTGGAGTGCTTGGGGAGTTGGGTAGAGGGAGGTTTTGCTTTGCTCAGTTTCATGAAGCAGAAGGAGCCCTGGTGATATGAGATGGTGTTTCGGGAGAGGCCTGCAGAGTGACTGGTAGGGCTTTTGTCACTGTGATTAGAGATGAGCCCTGTGTCCTTGGCAGTGAAGTAAGCCCCTACATCTTTTGGTAAAGCCAAGGGAGAAAGAACTCACTGCTCCTTTCCAGGCACATCTAGTGGCTTTGACCACAGGCTGTGCAGTGGCCCTTCCACCCTGCACCTGACCTTGTCATCCCCTCCTTCCCTGGGGCCATGTGTATTACACAAGCAAGTATATACTGATCACCTTGCACTCAAGACACTGCTGGGAAGGAGCAGTGGTCTAGGATTCAGAGACCTAGTTGGATTTAGTTGCCCCAGTTGGGTTTAGAATACTAAGATTATGGACATGATGCTCCCTTTTGAGCCTCCATTTCCCCTCTTGTGAAGTAAAGTTGCTTCTGTTCCTTCTCCATGTTCTGTACTTCAGCAGTCTTCCACTGCAAAACTAAGGCAGGTAGATGAGCATGCACCACTGTGTCTATCATCAAAGGTGTTGGTGCATGTGTACGTGTATGTGGGTAAGTAAGGTGGGGAATGCTGTTTATTTTCCTTTGCTTAGGAACCAAACTCCTTACTCTTCTGTTTGGACACCACAGTAGTAGCTGGCATCCTGGAGGGAAGACTTAAGCCAGGGTCATTGAACAGGTGCCTTGGGCATGATGTGGTGACTCATCCCTCTCCTTGGGGTGGGTACCATGACTGGTATCCAAGCAGTCCTCTGGCCATGGACCTCATCCATTTGCCATCACCCCACCAGCAGGTCTGCTTCACTGTGGAAGAAGAAACTGTGACTTTATAGATATATAATCACAAAACAGCAAAAACAAAATCTACTCCAAGTCCCATGTCCTGAACTGTTTCCTGAGCCCTGGGCCTGAGTCCTCCTAGAGGTTCCGGTTCCTATTGGTTGTTTTTCTATCTGAATGCTTTTTCGCCAGTCTTATGAGCAGATGTCTGTGATGTACTCTGAATGTCCTAGGAAAATCTGGCCTTCAGGGTCACATGAACAGCATGAGGTATGGGCAAAACCTTTCCCTCTCTGGCCCTCTGTTTTCAAATCTGTACAACGGGCAATAAGACTAGATGACTTGTATATAGCCCAATGCATCCCTAGAACTCTTTGTCTAAACACCAGCCACCCACTGGGAATGAGCCCTGGGAAGGATTGACTAAGAAAGGGTAAGAAATTGTTGTGTGAAGAGGCCTTAGGCACTTGGCAAAGCTGAGGCTGGAGAAGAGTGGAGTACTGGGACTCCATGCCCATGGAGGGTCATTCCTGGGAAGGTTCTTGTTCTATGCAATCCTAAAGGACAGACCTCACCCACCACAGGAGGCTGTGACCTCTCCTTGGGATAAGGGGGCATATAGTTCCCTGTCATGACTGTCCAGCCATGGGAGTGGCAGGCAGTATGTGGAAAGGGTCTCTAGTCCTGAGGGAAGTAGGGTTTTTTTAAGTCAAGTAATCTGAGGCTGCTGTTGAGCCAATGAAGGGTCAGAGAGTGGGATTTAGGAAGTTCAGCCCTCTTATGTCCCAGTACTGTGAGCCTTATGACTCCCCCCAACCTTGAAGCCAGACTGTATTCTCTTTGGGCAGCACTGTGAGCCTTCTTGACACGTCCAGTGGCCCACAGTAATTCCATCTCACCCTGTCTTGGGTTCTTGGGCACTAGAGTGAGGGAGCCCAAGCTGGGTCCAAAGCTGGAAATTTACCTGTGTCTGTTGTCATTCACTAAAGGCTCAGCCTCTTCATGCGCCCCTCTCTTCGTGAGGAAAGGCTGGAAGAGGCTCTCTCTTTAATTCTTTGAGTACCCTTACCTCCTTCAGGGCCACTCCAGAGCGAAAGCAATGAGTACTTTGTCACCATCGACTCCCACTTGAGCCTAGGAAACTTGGAAACTGGCTGGAGGAGCCCGAGCAGGGACCTGGAGACCTGGACCTATCCCAGCTTTGCTGCTGACCTGCTGTTTGATCTTGACTCATCCCCTATGTATCTTTGGGGGAGAGTCACAAAATACTAGAGCTGGGAAAAACTTAGAGGCCTGCAGGTCAGACTTCCTCCTTGGACTGATAAGGAAACATGGGTGGATCTAGCATAAATCTGGATGAAGACATGGCCCCAGCAATATGTGCACCGCCTTGTACAGGACCAGAGTGTGACATGTGACAGACAGCATTTGAAGAATTAACACTCCTGTGCAGAATACAGATTCTGTCTATGGAAAGTTGTCAGGACTCTAGACTGCAGAAGTAATGGAGCCAGCATAGTGTGGGAAAACCAGTTCTCTAACCTGAGCTTTGCCTCCTGCTCTGTGACTCCAGATTCGCCCTCTTCCATCATCTGCCTTCCAGTCTGAGAAATGAGGACGTGATTGCATCATCTGTCCTACAGGCCAATATGAGGTTGATGTGTGAGAAAGAACTTTGGCAACAACATAGATGTAGGCTCGTTCCTGGGCAAAGGCTCCCCAAAAGGGACTCCTTGCTATTTGTCTACTGCTTTGAGCCCTTCTGGATTAACCTTTACTCCATTTGTAAAACCACCAGCACTGGGGGTAAGGGGACAGCCAGAGAGCTCTGGTGGACAGAGTTCCAGCTTTATCACTGTCAGTTTGTTCAGTTTGCTTTCAAGATTAGGATGGAGCATTGCCATGCCACCTTCCTGGGAATCTTTCATGGACATTCCTCAGATGGGCAGTATGCTCATTCCTTCTCCTCTCCCCAAACTCCAGCTCCTGGGATGTGTCTGCCCTTGTCCATGTGTGCCTCGTCTGATGTCTCTCTCCTGTGGCTTTGCACCTGTCAGGCTGGAGTGGTTGGTGCAGCCCCTAGCATCCCAGGCATAGCTCCTGGCTCATTCATGAGAGCTGGGCCACCTGGATTTCATCTCCCACAATAAAGATGAGCCCCCCAGACCTTACTGCCCGCTCTGCCACCACTAATGCTGTGCTCACAACCTTGTCCAGGATTTTAAGAATGTCACATTGCTGTAGATGACTCAATAAATGTCTTATCATTTTTCCTGGTGGCTGTAAACTGGTGAAAGAGAGGGCAGGGGAGGAGTACATCTTCATGCTCCTTGAGGCTATGGGAACACTTGGAAGTCTTGAGTGCATGGAAATGGAGCAAATCCTCCTGTAGTCCACCCTATAGTCTTTAACGCCTCATGGCTTTCATACTGTTTTATAGGAGTGGTACCAGATGCCCCAAAAGCTTGCCTGGAGGGTGCATTTTGTCCCTGGTAGCCACAGGTACATCGGTGGCTGCCAGAGTCCCATCCTCTAACGCTGTTGGAAAGTCAGAGCTATCAATCCCTGCCAGATCATTCATCCAAGGTGATCCTCATTTCCCCAAGGTTCTCACAACACTAGTGCCCATTTTTATATCAGTTATAACTTTGTGTGTGTGTTATAGTGGAGATTGAACCCAGAATCCTTAGACTGAGTGACATTCCCACCCCTTTTAAAAATTTTGTTTTGAGATAGGGTCTTGCTGTTGCTAAGTGACCACACTGGGCTTGAGCTTTCATCCGTTTGCTTCAGCCACCCAGACTACTACCAAGTGTCACAGCACCCAGCCTCAGTCACAATTTTTAGTTACTAGCCACAGAAGATAATTTGAGCTGATAAATCAGAAAAGGAGTTCATGAAAAAGATTGTTAGGCAGCTCACAGAATTCTTGTAAGGCTGGAGGAGCCAGAAAATATATATGTACCCATATGTCATGTTACAAAATGGATGGCAGGAAGGATGCCACTAATTGTGCCATTGGCCCAGCAATGTCTCTTTGGTGCCAGGGACTTGATGTCACACTTACCACCATCTCAGAAGCAGATTGTTTTGCTTCCATTCTTGCCAGCAAATCAGATCCCACATGCAGTCCCCTCATCCAGTTGCTCACTTGTGAATCCAGTCTCACATGACATCTCAGTGACGTGTTCCACCTGCACGAGGGACTGGAAATTGTACTTTTCTGGGATTCTGCCTCAGGGAGGCCAGGCGCACAAGTCTGCAGATTTTCTAAGCATTTCAGTGGGATTAAAATGTCCCAGAAATAGTAAATGCCCACAACAGTCCTGAAGCCCGCTGCAACTGGAGGAATAGCACTCTCCAACTGATCAGCTGGGCCACTCTGATCTCAAGTTAAATTAGTGAAAAGATGAACCCTAACCCAGTAGGCTTCTGTGAGCCCTGCAACTGGAGTGGTCAGACAAGCTACTCACCAGAGCTACCAGGTGTCTAGTGGGGATATCCCAAGTCGCAAGGCTGTGCAGTTTTGCTGAGGCTGCACCTGCTTTTTCTCCAGAGATTAATGGGCTCTGTCACGTGACTCAAGAGATACCTTGAGCTGCTTCCAGGATGGACTCTACCTTTAAATTACCCTAAAAATTAATTTCCTTGTGTCAGACTCTGCTGGCTGCTCCTAGAGAAGACTTCTCTAGCATTTAGACAAATGTTGTTCTTACTGATGTGCCTGTGATAAACTGCAATTTCCTGCAATTTCATTCTTAGAAAGAGGTCACATTCAAGAAGCGAAGGTCAAGAGCCAGAAGTAAGTGGAAAGTCTTGAGTTCCATATGAAATTCCATATGGATTCCTTGGCAGCTGTGAGGATAAAACCAGTCCATGCAACTTAGATCCTGTTTTCAGTATCTACTCCCCAAGCCCAAGTTACTATTCTAGCTCTCTTTTCTCCAAAGCCCCTTTAATGAATGCCTTAAACTGATTCTTCCTAGGTAATAACTCCAGGTAATGATAATATTTGCCCTGGGTAATGGTAATGATACTAATAAGTGTAAGTAATTCTTCTTGGGAACCCAGTGGCTCTCAAGCTTTAGCTGTATCAGAACCACCTGAGTGGCTGTTAAAACATAGATTGTGGGCTAGGGATATAGATTAGTGGTAAGAGCACTTGCCTCACCCACATGAGCCTCTGTTTTCTATCCCTAGCACGGTAGAGGACAAAAACAGGTTGCTGAACTCACTGTCAGCATTTCTGATCCAGTAGATCTGAGGCAGGATGTGGTAGGTTTGCATATCTAAAAAGTCATCAGGGCTCTGCTGCTGCTGCTGCTGCTGCACCATTTTAAGAACCACTGCTGTGGTGGTCCTACCTGAGTATACAATGAACATCCTGGCCCGTTTTTCAACTCAGACCTGAGCAGTGGTTCACTCCCTAGGAGGCAGATGACGAACAGGTATTAACAGTGTGAGCTATAGTGTACTTCTCCTCCAGGTCACTGTTTTAGGATTAGCAGGCAAAAAAATCCAAGAGGAAATTAGCATGTCAGTGTGCATTCTCAATTCAAGCAACTATCTTTGATCTCTTTGTTCAAGAATCCAAACAATCTTGAATCTCTGACTCTTTGGACCATTTTTGCATCAATTAGGATCAAAGTCAGTGGGATGTGAAAGCAACCCCTCTCCACCCAAAAGTGGCTTACAGAAGACAGAAATTTTATTTTTCTCCTATTGATGCCCAGAGCCAGACAGTGCAGAGCTGTCACTGTGGCTTTGTGGTCTCTCGAAGACAGATTTTCGTCTCCCGCCCTTGACGTGTGAGTCCCAGCCCCTCAGTTCAATTGGTGGTCCAGGATGGCTTCTCGAGTTCTGGATGCCCCTTGACTCAGAGTGAAAGGCAGGAAGGCAAAGGGTCTCTCTTCCTGCTCAAGTCATCAACTTTTTAAAAGCCTTAGATTTGCTGAAATCTCATTGGTCAATATTTAGTCACCTGGCCACAGTTTGCTTCAAGGCAGGCAATAACACCAGAAGGAGAGTAGATAAATGACTGGCAAACAGTAGTTTCTGACATAATCTCCAGTCCCCGAATCTTTGGGCTGTCTCATGGTGCCACTGAGCTTATCCAATATCTTTGAAAACAGGCTGTCTGTATGCCCCACTGCATTAGAAACAAAGTAGGGGATGCTGTCTCCACTCTGGACCGACCATAGGTTTACTCCGAAGAGTCCCTTGATTAGAATTTGGGGACTGGTTATTCTCATCCAGGCAAACCTAGTCCAGTATCAAGGGGTGAGGGTACGTCCGCATCATTCTGTTTTCCTCCATCCTTTGGGCTGCCTCTCATAGCCATATTTCTGGAGTGCCTTTGAGACTTCTATTAATTGATTTGAGACTTCTATTAATTGATCTCTTTGTAATTTGGGGGAATCTTTAGAAATAAGGTATTTTGAGGGAGAGATGAGGATCTTGTAATTCACGATTGTCAGTCACCCTCAAGTGACTTCAGTTTAGAAGCTTCTGGTGCTCCCTGTTGGGCAGTACACACAGTGGCTCAACACAAAGACAGCCCCTGCTCCTGATAATCTCAACAGATTATGAATTCAATGTGGGAAACTCAGCACCCAAAGCTTTTCCATACTTTTGTTCCAGATGAGAGAGGAAGTCCTTAGCTGATGGCAGACTGGGGTGTTGAGCCCAGTAACAACCTTTACACTGCTCAGGTTTATCTTTACATACTCAAGTAGAGATCATTTTTATTGGCTCCCACCATAGTTCTTTCCTGATTTCTGTAAAGGAAAGGCTTAGAAATGTCAGTCATTTTAGAAGGAGGATAATGACAGTAGGGTATGTGTCATTGCTTGTTTATTCAACAGCGATTTATTAAGCAAGTACTGCTCATTTAACAAGCACTCTCAAGTGTCTGCCACATAGTGGGAGCTGCTCTTGGGCCCTGATGAGTATCTTGAGAGAGCTCCCAGATCTTGTGGCCTACATTCTACTGGGAGAGAAGACAATAAGAAAAAGAAGGAATCAAGGAAGTAAGCGAAGAGGACAGAAAGAAGGATGTGATTTTAGATGTGAGGCAAAAGTCATGGGGAAAATAAAGCACTTAGTGAGTGGAGCTTGCTGGGGGCAGGGAGCTGATTTAGGTAGAGCAGCTCGGGAAGGCATGAGATGCAGTTATCTAAAGCACCTCAACTTCTGTGGGTCTCAGCAAATACTTGTGGTGGGAGATCTCAGGTAGAGGAGCCACCAAGAGTGAATGCCCTGAGATACAAAGCAAACTAGCATATTCTCTGTGTCAGTTCCCCTAGCAAATTACCAGAAACTGCTGGCTTCAGACAAGCAATCTATTCTTTCATGATTCTGGAGTCCCGCAGTCTAAAATGAAGATGTTGCCTGGGCCCAGTTCTTCGGAAAGCTCTAGAGGAGAATGTTCCATGCTCTGCTCTCAGGTTTTAGTCTTGCTGGGAATTTTGACATTCCTTGGGTTATAGATGCAGTACTACAATCTTTGGGCATTATGTAATTTTGCCCCCTATGTGTCTTGTTTTTGTCTTCTACTCTGCTCGTCTTTATAAGGAAACCTGTTTTCATTTAGGACCCACAATAATCTATTATGACCTCAATTAGTTACATATGCAAGAACCCTGCTTCCAAAGTAGGCCTATTCATGGGCACTCAGAATTAGGATTTCAATGTTTCTTTTGGGGAGACAACTCAATCCACAGCAAAGGGCAAGGAAGTAAGTTTTCTCCACCGAGCGAGTGGGTGTGCTGTGTTTACTTGGACTACAGGCTTGGAAGAAGTGAGGGGGATGATGCTGATGATAAATATTTGGAGCAAGAGGGGTTAAAGCCTCTCACCCACAGTCATTATCAGTCATTTAGCTTTTTATTTATCATTTTATTTTTTTAAGTAAGTATTTTTATTTTTTATTTTTTTGGTACTGGGGATTGAACTCGGGTCCTTGCGCTTGTTAGGCAGGCCACCGAACTGCTGAGCTAAATCCTCAGCCCAAGTAAGTATTTTTTAGGTTAAAAAGAAAAAGAAATGTAGCAGCCCTGATTCAAAACCCTTCCACCCCAGCCCTAGAAAGACATTTTTCATGTTTTTTGTAGCTTATGAGATCCCACTGCCTGTCTGAATCACAAGTCCCAAAGCAGCACCAAAATCCTCACGGGACCTGGTCTCAGCTGAGGAAAATGGGTGGAATTCTTGAACTTTTTCAGATGGCTGGGCACTGTCCTGTCCTTACTGTACAA